GGTCCAACCCGTTACTAGCATGGTGTACCTAATAAAGTGGCCGATGAGTGTATATATATTTTTATTTATTTATTTATTTTTGGGAGGGGATCCCCCACTGGTGGGCCACACAGGATTTGGCCCGCGGGCCTTGTGTTTGACACATGTGGGTTAGAGACATTAAAGTGGTCTTACGGTCAGAGGGTCCTGGCTCAGACTGTGTCTCAGCTGAACGTGTCTCTCCAACATGGCTCGGCTGCTGAAAGTTTTCTTACTGTCAGAACAAAACCTGCAAACAAGAAATGTGAAACAAAACGACTTCTTTAGTTCAAAAACTCTCATGTGTCCGTCACGTCAGGCAGCAGCAGACAGAAACACAACCTGAAAAACAAGCCTCAAACACTCACTGCCCAAAAACGACACATCTGATTCAAAGCTTTGAGCAGCAGGAGGCAGTCATGTTCATCAGGTTTCTTCTGTTTTAACAAGTTTAAAATCACTACGAGCTAAAACTGAACCTGTGGAAACTCAGGGGCAGTGGTGGGCACGCTTCAGCTTCCTTTAGCTGATTAGCTTCAAACAATTTGAAAAACGTTAGCGGACTGATTAGCTTCTGTTAAATCAGGTTCTGACAACTCTTAGCTCACTAACAGCTAACTAACAAACTAACAACAGGTGTGTGTCCGTCCCACCTGCCTTCAGCTGGAAGGAGATGAAGACGTGATGCAGACTGACTGACAGACATCTTAGCTGTTAGCTTGTTCTCATTTTACTCATTACTTTCATCAAACTTCCACTGAGCTACAATCTAATTTTCTGTGCAGCTTTTTGAAAGTTTTGTCAGCGTAATGAAACATTTTTCTTTCAGCTGCTCTCCTCTGCAGAGGTTCATCACATGAGGTTTACTAACTGTTTCATACCAGAGCGCTCAGCGCCGAGCCCTGATCTACTGCACACATCACACTGTGCAGCTGTGCTGCTGTGTAGCTGTGTAGCTGTGCAGCTGTGCTGCTGTGCAGCTGTGTAGCTGTGTAGCTGTGCAGCTGTGCAGCTGTGCTGCTGTGTAGCTGTGTAGCTGTGCAGCTGTGTAGCTGTGCTGCTGTGTAGCTGTGTAGTTGTGCAGCTGTGCAGCTGTGCTGCTGTGTAGCTGTGCAGCTGTGCAGCTGTGCTGCTGTGCAGCTGTGCAGCTGTGTAGCTGTGCTGCTGTGTAGCTGTGCTGCTGTGTAGCTGTGCTGCTGTGTAGCTGTGCT